GACGGTACTAATGGATATTTTTGGTCGCTATTGAAAATTTAGTCGATTGCTGAATTTATGTTTGGGCCCAAATTAGGGACATGTAGGCCGACATTACCTACATTTCCCCTATATACAATTTCGTGAGCTGTTTCAGCAAAACAATTTGAAACTTCGGAAGATTTTCAAAATGTTTTCTAGCTCTCTTGACAAATAAAATCGGCTGAGTTCGCAGTACTCAGCTTATGACGGGCGCTATAATCTATGGAACTTGGGTCCAACATAAAATATATCGTGATACTGGCCATACAGAAAGTTGAAGTTGTTCAGGTGATCAAGTCCCTTCGGATAGTGGTGGTATTAGTTCAGAACTCTCTCACTACGCAGCGCTAGTGTGCACATGAGCTTCCTGTATAAGCTGTATCTCAAAATCCTGGACATATTGAAGGTTACTGTCTTCAGCAAAGTTGTTCAGCTGATCATGTCCTTTCGGATAGTGGTCATATTAGTTTAGAATTCGCTCACTATGCAGGGCTACTGTGCTACCTGACTTATAATGAATATACGGTGTAGACGAATACAACGTATAGTTCGTCACAGAATTCACTCGGCTGTCGACAGAAGCAGACCACTCTCAATGTGTGTCTCGCGATCGTCTGTTTACTCGGCAGCAACCAATGTGTGGCACTCCTCATTGTTCTTCATCAGCAGTTCTTTCAGTGTCAGGTGACCAAATCCTTTCAGATGATGGCCATATAAGTTCAGAACACTCACACTACGCGGCACTAGTGTGCAAGTGAACTTCCTGTATAAGCTGTATATCGAGAACCTGGCCATATAGAAGGTTACTGTCTTCAGTAAAGTTGATCAAGTGACCATGTCCTTTCGGATGGTGGTCATATTATTTCAGAACTCTCTCATTACGCGGTGCTAGTGTGCACATGAACTTCCTTAATATGTTATGTCTATATAAGATGTTATCAAAGAAGAATACTAAGATGAAACAGTCGGAAGAAAAACTTTCACTTTTAGTGTCCTCTTTCACGGTCCCTTTCATCCAATGAATACCCCCCGTATGAAAGGTAATTTTGTGATTTTGCTGCCCCTCGGTAGAGATGAAATCTTGCGCTCTTTTTTATCGAAACAATCACACCAGAATCAGAGAAGTCCCATTTTTTAATTACTCGATTAACAACTAATCGATTATTTTTTGAACGCTGTGCTGTCATTTTCCAACAATGAGAGTGCATTATATGTTTGAAACGATGGGTGATGATCCTCTGGAGAAGTTGATGCTTATATCGGCATGATATAACCGATTACAACGACGTGTATAGGCCGGAAATCGATGTCAAACGTTATTTTGGAATCCAAGATGGCGGTCATCGGTTCAAGAAAAACTGTCAAATACCCTACAATATGGGTATATCCGAAAAATCCTTTGCTTTAACGTAAATTATTGTTGGGGACGATGTGTAAAGGCCATCGATGGCTGCCAACGTTTTGCGATACAAAATGGTGGCTGTTCGTTGCGCTGGTGATGGTGACGGTGCTGAACATCCCACGTCCACAGCGACCCGGACGAATATGAACCTAGTGAAGAAATAACAAAAACAAACAGGGAACAATGGACGTAAAGGATAAAAGGGGGACTGAGTGAAAAATTACTAGACGTAACGAACGGCGTGCTAAAATTTATCCGGCTATCTACGCATTATTAAACTATCTTAATATTAAACTTTCTTATTTTTGAACTTATCTACTTACGAGCAATCGGCTTATATCAAAATTCATTAGGTACTAGTTGTAAAAGTGAATCCTTAACGATAAAAGTGAATCATGGATTCTAACCTAACAACTATTATTACAGCGAAACCGTTTTTCTAGATAAATTTTGTGAACTTAGTCTACTTAACTTAGCTATCTATTTAAAACTTAGTTACCTAAAAAAAAGGTGAGAAGAATTGAATTATGCACATCATACACTTAATCGATCATTCTTACATCTAGCCAAATTATCTACGGATTGAGTTATACATAACAAAGACACTGGATATTACCATAGAGGTAGCTCTAAGACTAGAAGGTCCCGAAATAACGTGCTCAACTTTTTGGCTCAGCTCTGGTACTCTCTTCGGTCCCAAGCTAATCGATTCACCCCTCGAAACATGAGAAAATCCACTAACCCCTCATTTTATCTGTCAAACTTTCATAGCGAATCAAAACAAACATTGTGTAGTAGTGGAATTTCGTCTAGAATGGGGTACGTTAATCGATTTGCTTGGGACCAATAGGCTACTAAAGTGGTGAGCCAATTTAAAATCGTTAGTTTCGTATTGATTGTTGATATTACTCTGTATCATAACAGTAGAGGCTCGGGTAGAGACTACACAGCAAAAAAAAATATAATATCGATCAACGTAATTCAAGCTGATGTATGAAATAATGATGTTATAGCAAAAAGCAGGACAATATTACATTAATAGATGTAATTTTGTTCGCAAAATCGATGTACATCGTACAAAGTAATATTACACAACCGACGGAATGACCTCTGTGCAGCTGTTTGGATGTAATATTCAACAACTTTTTTTCTGTGTAATATTAAAAGTACGGCACGGTGCCAACGAACAAGTTATCGAGTTTGAGTGGTAGTGAACACTAAAGTAAATTTGAGTTTAGTTCAATCATAATCGCCAAAACTGCAGGTACTCAGCGATGAGTAAATAAGCCTAATTGTTTCCCGTGGAAAACCTAAAAAAATCTCCCGGAGAATGAAGAAAATTGACGAAAATTTTACTCAGTCTAGGAGTAGTACCAATAGAGTGAATGAATCAAATATTTACTGTTCTCTTATTCGGGAAGTTTTTTCTGGACAAAACCCAGGACCATGGTGGGTATATAAATGGTGATACAGCTTTGTCACTATATAGGCGAGGAGGTCGCGGGGGGGGGGGGGGAAGTGCGGTTTTAGAGCAAATTGTAAACAAACTCGGTCGCTATCCCGTACAAAAATCCAACATGGCTGAATCATGAATTTGACGCATTAGAACATGTAGTCACATTAGAACACTTATATGTAGTCACCTTGCCCAGGAAGACCTAGAAAAACATAAGGCAAATTTACTCATCACTGAGTTGCTGCACTTTATGCGATTTAAAGCTCGATTCAAAGTAAATCTGGACGCACGGTTTAAAACACCACCACCGCGCCCCTGCTGGTTGGAACAAAAAACGTTTGACAGGCATTTGTTGATGTTTCATTGACGAAGAAATTGGTGAAAAGTTTTTCTCGATTGATCGACGCATCCCGAAATTACGGATCATGGAACTTGAGAAAAGAAAATTAATTGTGCACAAACATCAAGAGAACCCTTCGTGGTCTGCCTCAAAAATAGCAAAAGTGTTAAAATTCCCAAAGTCAACGGTCAGTCTTGTAATCAAACGTTACAAGGATACTCTGAGTGTGGATAGAGCACAGCGCATCGATCATAAAAGTGCCACTAGGGACAAATAGCTGAGGAAAGGTGTTGAGGTACGTGAAAAGCAACCCAGGTGTCTCCATACGTGATTTGGCAAAGAAATACGATTCCAACTTTTTCACCGTGCGTAACATCCTTTCAAGTGAAGGATGTAAGTATTTTTGTGCCGAATCGCAAACAAAATTTAGTGGCCAAAAAGCGAGCACGATTACTATACGAACGAGTTTTTATGAAATTTGATGGCTGTATTTTAATGGATGACGAAACATATTTTAAAATGGATTATAAACAAATTCCCCGACGAAAATTTTACCTGGCAACTGGTCGTGGGTGATAAGTTTGCTCGGAAACTAATGATTTGGCAAGAAATCAGCAGTTGTGGCCTTATAGCCAAGGTTTTCATCACATCTCACACAATGACGTCGAAGGTTTACATTAAAGAGTGTCTGAAAAAGCGGATTTTACCCTTCATTCGGCAATCTATCCGTTTATCTTAATAGCTGATCCTTATTATAATGAGAAACTTTTCTAAAGAGTGACAAATCTTCACCGAAGATACGGAGTCACGGCAATGCTTCCTTTTGGAGATAATATTTTATCCCGCTAGATGTATTCCTATATCGCTAATAACGTCGAACGGATTCGTGTATCCTCGCCATCTCCAGAATAGATTCAAAAGATCCAGCAAAGCCATTCAGCTACATTTTGCGCCGACCGGTACAAACTGATGGAACAATCCGTCACCACGAACATCAGATGATCATTCAACCTACTCGCTTCTTCACACAGCGGTGGCACATGGGAACACTGACTCTAAACTATCCCTGGAATTTCACTAGACTTACGCTGGCTAACCACATCAATATTCTGGATTTGTCTAAGAATTTCAAGATATTCTCAAAACCTCCATAAAATGTCTAATAACTTACTATTGAAGTCTTTTGAGCATGTCGAGGAAGTCGTTCAGTCCTCCCAAACGGGGAGTTCCCATAGCATACCCTCATTATCTGCGTACACCTATGACCAGTTCAAGCGCCTGACAAAGAGCACATTTCGCTCAACTTCCAACAGACACTGCCGCACCGACCGAGTAGTGGTAATAGTGGCTGTGATGGCTCCATAACCAGCCCAAACCGCCTGCTCACAGCCAAGGGGTGAGAAAGATTCCATCGTCCAGATATACGCGCCGAATGGCCGTGACGTAGACGAGGTCTTTTTTATTGAAATTTTACTCCGATATACAATATGTTTTTTATGTTCCCCGTGCTCTGTTTTACCTGCTTCGGTCGTGCCTCGTCGTTGTTGTTGTTGTTATTGTCCGTGCCCCTGACCGACGCGACGCGACGACGTGCGACTACTGGCCACCGCGCCGCGGATCCGAGACGAAATTCAAAATCGTTCACGATCGTTCTCCGCCGCATATAATTGGGTTCGAAAGCCTTCTTCTGCGATGGTCGCTTTGAAGGTTATCATCGTTGATTTTTTTTTGTGGTTTAAATATCATACTAACAAACTTCTTTCTCTTGTTTCCATTTGCAGATAGTCTCATCGCATACAATTATCGGACAAGGTTTCAAAAGTCACATAGAGAATCCGGGCTTTTGCCGCTAACTTTCATTCAAATCCTAAAAGAAACGTTTTGTGAAACGTTACCGTAAAGCAATATAAGGAGGAACGTTCTGTTTTAACACGGTGCATACGTAACGGATTTAGCGTGATTCGGAACTGGTTCCAGCAAAATAATAATATAGGTTAAAATATCATCAATAATCTTTAATCACAAAACCAGAAACGAAAGTTCGACTATCGTCGATTGAAAACGCAATCCATTGCATTTGACACAGAATCGAAATCAGCGCAAAGGGAATCTCAAATTAGCTAATTTTGACGTAGTTTCTAAGGTAACTGTCAAAGCAAGCCGACGTTTGTGCGCGAATGTTCTAACTTTTGTCGTTTTCGTTCACAGCTCGCGAAACATAAACATTTTTGGACGTAAACATTCAAACATACACTTTCATCGTAATTATTAGCGGAAATTACTTTCTCGAACCCATTGAAATTGTCAATCGAGCATGCGATTTTTGTAAGAAGTCAAATCAAACAACAATCTCTAGGCAAATATTTAACCCGAACTTAGTCAAATTTAAACGCAACCAAATTTCTTCGTAGAGGAAGCAAAAATCAGTACTTCTAAAGGTTAGACTTTTTACATGCGAGCATTACGAGAACATAAATAACACGCACATACCAATTAATAAGAACGGATCCCGCGCGAAGCAAGAAAACTGCAGGAGATAACAAAAAGAAGGTAAACGAATCATCGCGTTAGATCTTCCTTGAACTCTGACAAAGACAACAAGTACTGCGCAAAAGTGTAAACAGAGCAGCCGAAACAACAGGGATAAACAACAGGAAAACAGGAGAAGGAAACAGGAAAACATCAACTACGAACTTACTACCCTTAGCCGATTGTGAATTAGCAGAAAAATATCGGGGAGCCGGAAGACGAGAGGCAACAACTTTTGCATCAACGGAAACGGTAAGTCAAACAACGCCCTCTTTCTTCACGTTTTTTTTAATCGTTCGATAAAGAGAGTAAAAAACAGTTGCGGCTTTTTAAAATCATTGCTTTTCAACCTTTGACACATCTGTCAACCGTTCCTTCAAAATACGAGCAGCTGTAGTTTGCAAATTGACTGAAAATCTTAATCCGGCCAATCCGGAATCCACGCAGCAAAACCAGAACCGAACGCGCGTTGGTCATTTGCAAAGATGCAATTAGATGACATTTTGTCAGATGTTTTAGAACCGCTGCCGCTTCTGTGCGGCTTCTTCGACTTTAAAATTAGCACATTTCTAGGCATAAAACGAAAATTGCGACGGGCAAAGCGTGCTTGGATATGCTCGCTAGAGACCGGCAGCAGCAGCGTGCCATGCGTTTCTTTTTGTTTTTCTTTTGCTACCAGAGCTCAACACGCAAAATAAAACCAACTCAAACAAAACAAAAAAAAAATAAAACAACGATCACATCACAGCAAGCCGGTTCCCGTGAAGTTTCGTACCTTCTATGCTAGAGAGGTGGTGGTGGCGGAGGCTGGCTGTGCGCAACTCGGCTACTATTATGATACCACCACGAACTACCAGCCTGCTCTGATGTGCTATTTTTTTCAAGATGTGCATCAAGTTCATCGTCAACGCATAGTAAACATATGCACATTCGTGCACAATACGTACTTCTACCATTCCCTGGGAAAGGGTGCATTACACAAAACCCGACTGTTGTGTACAGTGATGATGATGATGATGTTGTGCGGTGCATCCACCGTAATAAATAAGGACAAAAAGTCAATGACATTTGGACCGTTTAATGTGGGGAATGTCTGGTTCGGTTTGGTTTGGTGTTTGGTGACGCTAGCGTCACAGTAGTTTATGTGGAAAAGAGTTTTTCACTTTCGATTTTGCTTGGCTCTAAAATCTTTCAAATCAAGTCGTTATTTTCCAATGTCTACTCGAAAATGTAATCCTTATCGAGATTCTTGGAAATGTTCCAAACCAATCGGTCTACTGGTGCTCTTAGCTGAGGCAGCCTGCTGCGTTTAACAAATTCCTTCTCGCTAATTACAACTTGATTGACAGATGTTTCACTTGAACCGTACGTAGGTAGGTACCTACATATACCTTCCACATATCCCCTCTCCTGGCGGCCTCGCCAACAGCAGTAGGATTTTCTGGTTCAATAACAACTCAGCTGTTCCACTTCCTTTCCATATTTCGCTCGCCTCCTTGAATGCTTTTGCCTTCCCTCGCCCGACTCGAATGTCCTTTGGTTGTTGTGTGCCACTTCCCCCGTTTCGTCGTCGCCTCTCTGGTTTCCCTTCTCTTCGTATTTATACCCCCTCGGCTGTTTTCTCTGCCGGATCAAGGTAACCCCCTACAAACAAAAGACCAGACGACTGCGATGGCAGTGAGAACATTTTTCGGTTCCTTCCTATTTCGCTGAATCGAATCCCAACCTGGTGAAACCAGATCAACTGGGTCTGATTGTACATAGGTATACCTTTAACTCTACCTACAGTGGAAACAGAGACTTCTTTTTGTTCGCCAGCTATGCCGTCTGGGTTGCACCATGAACTCCGACTGCTGCATTCTGCTGCAAATGTTATTCTCGGCCCTTCGTTTGGTAGGATTCAGCTCTGGTGAAACAATGAATCGATCTTTGAGTTGGAAAGTTTCAACCAAATCATAGACGGTTTTGAAAGAGATGCTGCTAATTGGAGGATGAGTTTTCGGCCATATCTGCTGTTGTAAACAAAGATTGAAATGTAAATTTGTCGAAACTCTTAGCTCGCCCTCGCAAACTAACAACATTACCGTCACGTAGGGGAAACTACCCTACCTAATGGTGGTGTTAGTTTACGTGGGAGAGCTAAAAGGTTCGAAAAATTGACATTTGATTTCAAAATTCGTTTTCAAAAACGGATACGACCTTTTGAAAATTCAGTCTTGAATTGATCTGACAGATCTGAAGTACTCGGAATACACCCGGTGCAAATAATGACTAATTTTCCAGTGCAATACGGAGTTTGTGTGGCTGTTAATGGAACTTTCAGGAGCACGGTGACAACTACTTGAAAAAATCTGGAAAACCTGAAATTATAAGGGTATTTTAAAATTCTAGAAAAATCCTAGAATTATCAGGGCATTGTGCCATTTTTTTCCTTGATTTGTTTTCCGTCGATCTTGTTTTCCGTGCTGGGTACCAATGCTACCGACACCATGAAGGCAGCTTTCATATTTCCTACCTATCGACCCATCAACTCATGGACCGGGGGCCAACGGCTTTACTTCCCTTCCGAAGGTAGGCGTGATCAGATATTTTTGCCTCAGAAAATCCCAGTGGCGCCGACTGGGACTGAACCCAGGCCTTGTGGGGCGAGAGATAGTCACGCTTACCACTATACCACCGGCGCCACTGTCATTGTGCCATCAATCATGGAATTTTTGTAAAGTAGGCTCACTGGAGTTGTTAAATATGTGGTGCAACGTTCATTTGTGTATTTTTGTTTTATTATTATTATAGTCCATCTGACTTGATAGTCTCAATGAAAGACTTAAATCTAAATGTAGTCACTAATTAAAAATTAAAAATTGGCCAACAGCAAACGATGACGAAACCTCGAGGCATTGATGTCAAAGTCAAATAGGTCAGAGGCTTCGTTGAATTGATGAATCATGGCGACAAAGGAACTGTTTGCAGCATAGTTGGTTGCATGTACTACTTCATGTAGCAAGGTTCTCGGACGGAGTGTTCGGGCAGGAGCATACAGATTTATTTTGGCCAGTAACTCAGGAACATCATATTCTGACAGTAAAACTTTAGCAACGAAGACGACCTGCGATATGTTTCGTCGCTTAGCAAGAGTATCCAAACCCAGTAAACGACAGCGGTCAACATACGGTGGTAAATTCAGCGGGTCACTCCATGGAATATAGCGCAGTGCGTATCCGACGAATTTGCGTTGAACAGCTTCGAATCGTCCACTCCATACAGCTTGGTAGGGATTCCAGACAACACACGCGAATTCCAGTAGTGAGCGTACCAATGAACAGTAAAGGGCTTTAAAACACAGAGGATCACGAAATTCCTTAGATATCTTGAACATGAATCCAAGCTGTCGATCGTGGTTGAGAAGTGGCGAGTGTTTGTGAGCTTACAATCCAACATGACACCGAGGTCTTTAACGTGATCGACACGTTGAACTGCAGTTCCAGCAACGTTATAATCAAACAAAATGGCAGTCCTAGTTCGACGGAAACTAATTACGCAGCACTTTGAGACGCACAGGACCATAAAATTACGTTCACACCAATCATTAAAGATTTCAAGAAGGTTTTGTAGTTCTAAACAGTCGGCATAGCCTCGAACGACTAGATAAATCTTCAAGTCATCGGCAAAAAACAATTTACCTCCACGTAGTAGAATAAACGTTACATCAAATAAAGAGAAGAGCATTGGTCCCAAAGTGCCAATGAGGTACAGAGAGAGGTGGCGCAGATCGTGAAATAGGGTTGTATTAGTAAACCAAAAAATCAACGTAAACGCAAGTAGTGACGTCACTACTTGCGTGTACTTGCGTGTATCGTACAGTGGTTGTGTGAGTGATTGCTTCACCTCGGTAATCCAGCTCATTGCCAAAGTGCTACCCTGTGGAACTTCTGATCTGTTCGAGAAACAGTACAATTAGTAGTTTCCAATGCATACAGTAACTTCACGTTGCACGAGGTACGACCTAAGCCAGCTGCAGAAGGAAACAGAACATCCAATTTTTTCAAGCTTTGCTAGCAGAACGTCGTGCACAACTCTATCAAACGCAGCTTTAAGATCAGTGTAGATGGCATCCACTTGAAGTTTCTTGCATACATAAAGCTGACGAGATTAGTTTCCACGGAGCGGCCAGGAAAGAAACCATGTTGACATGTACTTATGTAATGCTTGCAGGAAGCAAACAATCTCTCATTTATCAGCGACTCAAACACCTTAGATTCAACCCCAAGCGAGGTAATCCCACGGTAGTTTTCCACATTGCGTTTATCTCCTTTCTTGAAAACAGGGAACATAGTAGACCGTTTCCATAGTGCGGGAAATTTCTGTTGACGAAGTGACAGGTTGAAAAGCAACGACAACGAAGCAGCTAAGATATCGGAGCATTTTTTAGGATTGCAGATGGAATAACACTCGGACCTGGTGAAAATGATGATTTGGTTTTACTCATCACAGAGAGAACCATTTGTACATCAACGGCAAAAACATCCATGTTTACGAAGTCGGTTGGCACATCACGGACGGCTCGCTCAATTTCTGCTTGCGATGGGGAGTCATTCGAGAAGACGCTTAAGAAGTGCCTAGCAAATAGGCTGCATTTGTCCTCAGTTGTCAATGCTACGTCATTGCCGAGAAACATTTTTGACGGCAGTCCAGTTTCCTTCCTCTTAGTATTCACAAACGACCAGAATCCCTTGGGGTGGCATTGCAGATTATGTTGAGTACGAATTACATACCTCTTGTAAAGAAGCTTGTTGTAGTGGCGATAATCATTGCTGGCAATTGAAAAATTTCGCTTGGTAAGGGTACATCGTCGATGAGTGAGAGCACGGAGAGCTCTAGATCGCACTCGTTTCAGGTTGCGGAGAGAAGCGTTAGACCAAGGCGGTTTTCTTGGAGGTTGGCACTTCGGTACTGAAGCACAAACACAGTCGCGCAAAACGCTATTATAGCGAGCAGCTGCTGTATCGATATCAAGGTCATTCAACACGTTCCAGTTGATCTGGGGCAAGGAACGCCTCAGCAAACGGAAATCGGTCTTCCGGAAATTGAGCCGAGTGGCAGACATGGTTTCATCAAAACGAATTTGAGATCCGTTCACGATAGATATATCCAAAGCAGGGTGGACATTATCAAGAGGAACGATGACATCAGGCGCTTCAGCGACGACACAGTCCAGAAGTGCACTTTCGCCAACAAAAACCAAGTCAAGAAAA